GTCTCCTTTTTTCCATGTAGGCCTACAGCCAAATGTATTGAGGGACTTGGGGAGGGCAATCAAAAGGTGTTTTAATTTGAGCTTATTTCTGGCAGGGAACAAACTGAGGCCAATGACGGAGGGTGGGTAGAGGTGACCTCTCCTCCCCCTGGAGTGAGGTATTAATTTTGAAGCATAGCAGTGATCTAGGGCCGTTCCCAATGCCTTCCCTTGGCGTTCGAGAAAGGCCAGCAGGATCAACCGGCGATTAGCCACGCTGCCGTTTTTAATTTAAAGAAAATTACTTTGAGTTTTATTAGCTGTTGTAGAGAACCTTGTGCAACAGAATTACAGAGGACAGCGAATAAACTTTTGTTCAAAACCTAATGGATTTTAAATAACGGTGCAGGTTGTTCGTGGTTCCCAGGCGAAGCTCGTATATGCTGCTGCCCATCTCCCGATTCAAGCACAACCTTGAATCTGGCTATATTGGCTGAGTTAAAGGTCTCTGAAGCAGAGAAAGTGTCATAGAGATCTGCAGCCACTCACTGCTATTGATTATGCCACCCAGGAATAACAACACCTTCAGCCTGACAATTAATCACTTTAAATGTGTGGCTATAGTAGGTCAAGCATCTTAAAAAAATATATAGTTTATACTAAATATCAAGTGGAAAAAACATCTGGTTGCACTGTTTTTGAGGCAAAATCACGTGCGGTTAATTTACATAAAGCTAATTACAACATTTAGCGACCTCTAGTGGTAAAAAGATGCATTGTGATAAAAACAGCTTCATGAAAAAAGTATGCCATCTATTAATACTTCAAATTAATTCATTTAATTATTAAATTCTCTTTCTAAACAATTATAAAAATATATCTATCTATCTATCTATCTATCTATCTATCTATCTATCTATCTATCTATCTATCTATCTATCTATCTATCTATCTATCTATCTATCTATCTATCATATTCTGTATTGTGAAGCACTTTGGATCAATTGCAGTTGTGTTAAATGTGCTCTATAAAAATATAAACTTTGTTTCCCAAAAATAAATAAATAAATGCCCCAAGTCTCCAGGATTCCATCATGACAAACCACAAATGATTAAATAATATAAATAATATTAATAAAAAGGCATCACAAAAATTCAAGGGAAAAACAAACTTTATTATCTCCTTTTTACAAAACATTTCAAAGTTTAATCTAACCTCAGCAGTAATTTGAATCTAATATAGACCTGCAAGCAGCAAATTGTCCAACATAAAATAATTACTCTATTACATTTTTTTTTTCCAAAACAGAAGCACAGACAGATAGAGGGCCTTTTTATTTTTTATTTTTTTGCTGCTCTAGTACAATGAAAAACTGCATGACCAACAAAATGAATGCAATGATTTTAGATGCACACAGTGAGAATTAATGCGTATTAAAACTATGAGTGCAAATTAACCACATGATTTGCATGAGAACAACATCATGTGAATATCATGAGGTCGGGCGGGGATGAAACATGAAAAAAATACAAAAGCCGTTTGTAATGCCGTACTGAGTTTTCCACCAAACAGTAAATAATTTTCGACACGTCACTGCAGTCCTATACGAACATTTACTTTTATTGCATTTGTGAAATAATAGTCATAACAATAGTAATAAAAAAATAACAAAAGCCTCCCTTGGTGAAGCATTCTGCTACTGAGAAATGTCAAAGTTACGCATGCTGCTGTCTGAATATTAATATGCATCTGTACAGTGATCTAGAGCACAGCACGTTATGGACTAAACATAACATCAAATAAAACATTCCATACATGTAGCACAAGACATAGCCTTGTGTAAACATACAATCTAACTTAATGTTTAACAGAGTCTAAGACACTGACACAAATATTACATTTCAAAGCAGTGCAAAACGTATGGTAAATGCGACGACAAGAAACTCAACGCTGAATCTAAAACACCAACAAAATGTGTTGAATAATTCCCGATAAATGAGCTACTTTAAAGCAACAGTATGACATCATTTCCGGCCATGTGCACGGATGGTTCAGCATGACCATGTGCATACCTTAACCAGTCCAATATTATAAAAGTTCTGTGCTCATAATGGACATTAAATCATAAAATGTTAGATTTTGGTGTAAATTAACTCTTGGGTGCATATCTGTGATTTGACTGCAGTGAAACTGCTTAACAGATACCAAATAGAAATATAGAAATATATATATTTATAACTTCAATGCTTTGCAAATGCATGCTTTTGTACCAGATTTAATAAATAAGAATGTCTTTTTTATGGAAGCTTGTTTCCACCTAGGAATAAAACACGAAAATGTCATTGTGACTTTTATATCACAATTCAGACTTTTTTCAATTTTTGCAATGTAAACAAGATATAAACTCAGAATTCTGAGTTTAACTCTAACAATTCTGGCTTTTTATTAGAGAATTCTGAGTTTACATCTCGTAATTCTGTTTCTCCCCCCCTACATTAATTACAAGCTTATATCTCACAATTCTGTCTCGTAATTCTGAGGAAAAAATGTCCAAAAGATAAGAAATAAACTAAAAACTGTGAGGGAAAAAAGTCCAAATTGTGAGATTGCAATTTTATCCTGTGGTGGAAACACACTTCCATAATTTTCTGTTATAAGACTGTGAAAAAAATGTGTTTCTTCTAGTGCATGATTACATATTCTCATGTAAAAACCATGCAATTGGAAAATGGCAAGAAAGGTAAACTAGAGGTTGAATAATGAATCACGTTGAAGCAGTTACATTCAACTTTCAGCCTCAATACCACATTTTACACATTTAAATGTGGAGGATGAAATACATATTGATTGCTGACTGAAAAAGTTCCGATTTGGATGAAATGGGAACTCAACACGACCTCAGCTTGGTCGCAATCTTCAGGAAAAATTGGGAAAACGTTCAGAGCTTAACCAGAGGGCTTCAGTACTGGAAATAAATTGCTTAACTATAGCAACACAACACTGACAGTTTTGCTGGGGTGAGAATTGAAGTGTGTAATTTCTGCGCAACTAGCGGCAACAAACAAAATTGCAAAAATAATGACTTCAATCATTTCCATGTCTGCATGAATGGAAGTCAAAGGATGAAATGCCTCGGTACACTGACTAAACAGGTTTTGTGTGGAAACAGAACAAATTGAGTGCCTTGCTGCTGATCTTTAACATGCACGGCATGACATATTAATTTTAGAGGAAGGTAACTCATTTTTTGTAGCATCTCCAAATATACAAGCCACAAGAATTTCTCCACAGGTATTTACAATACAACAGATGGGGTTTACAGCACTACACATTCATTGTTAAGGTCTCCAGACTTGAAAAGCACTTCAATGCCATCAGGGTCTTTATATAATTGCCTTATGAGATGCATGTACCGTACCGACCCAGAGCATCTTCACATTTATTTCAACATCTCATGCCAGTCAGGCCGCAGATTGTTTTGTGCTGCAGAAATTACACATATCTTCTTCTTCTTCAAAAAAAAAAAAAAAGATGGATAAAATAATGGGAAAGAATCTGTATGCATCATTAATAGTGTACACAGGCTGTCTTAATGACAATTATTCACAGCAAAACATGCGACATAAATAGCTTAAAGTCAATCAAATTTTGCATGTGAGAAAAAATATTATTAGAGCTGATCAGTAAGGCTACATCAGCAGGAGGCGACACTCTCAAGAATCTTGGGTATTAGTAATAATAATAAAAACACACAGTGGCTTTAACTGAAGCTAAACAACTGTTATAAAGAAACAATCATGTTTAGGAGCAGACCAGGGTACTAAATCTGCCATCACTTTTGAAAGTCTGGCCAAAACCCATGAACATTCCAGAGCCCGAGATACAAATGATCCTGACTTATCATTGAAGAGCGGACTAGGGAAATAACAAAGCGCTCTGTTGTATTGGTATGTAGCAGAAATATACGGCCATGGCAGCTGTGTCCACTGTGCTTGCACATGTTTCAGAAGCTGTCAGTGGAGAACAAACTCTTAGTCTCGTCTGACGCATGCAGAGCTTGTGCATGTCTTTTCAGTTCGACCGACAAATATGGTTTTGGAGAGCAATATGGAAAACACTGTCAGAATGAAGTGTGCTGCTGGACGCATGAGGACAGGGTCCAAAATGAACACTCACAAACTGCCAAGTGTGAATAAAAATGGATTGAAATTGAATAAGTTTGTAATATGAAATCAAGGGCCTCGTTTATAAAGACATATGTATAATGTCAATGTACGACAATTTCCAAAATGTACCTACGAATGAATCAACAACACTGAAACAATGTTGGATTATTTTAATTACTTTAATATATGAGCCAATGTATTTCCAAAATGTTCCTACGAATGATTCATAAAATGTCCATATACACAAAAGATTTTCCTAAATGCATCCCACTTTACAAATTGCAGTTCAGCTTAAATTCAAAATGGGCATATAGATATTTTTTAATTGTAAAATAGAAATGAATAATTAATAAGAAACAATTTCTTATTTTTAAATAATAGTAAATACATACTATGTGTGTGTGTGTGTGTGTGTGTGTGTATTGGCTCATATATTACAATAATTAAAATAATCCTGCATTGTTTCAATGTTGTGTGTGTGTGTGTGCATACTATATATATATACACACACTACATTGAAACAATCCTGGATTATTTAATCCTACAAATGATTCATAAAATGTCTGTATTCACAAATCCCACTTCAAACATTGCAGTTCAACTTAAATTCACATTTGTTTTGCCTTTATAAACTTTGATTTGTTCCACACATTTAACTTACGATGAAATCAAATCCGATCATAGGCTTTTTTTTATGAATGAGGTCGCTAGTGGTTATCTTAATCATAATGCAAAATCAAAAAAATTCATGGCAGGTAAAAATTTTCATCCAAAATGAGTGGCAAAACGTTAATTTTGGACCCTTCATGAGAGTTTACCATACTCACAGAGAGAGCGTATGGTAGAGGAGCATGGGGTGGATTTCATTATCAGCACATCTGTATTCACTTCCAAAGAAATAAAGCCACTGTATTTCTCATACTACTGCAAAAACACGATGCATATAAAAATATCCTATAAATAATTCTGCTGTATTATATTCAATTACTTAAACTTAGATTGTGGGCTGAATTGAAATGTCTCAGCATGCAGTAAAACTGAGAGCGCGGCTTATACATCCTCATATTGTTTGTTTTCACACTGATTTTCTTCTTCCTCTCAGTTCTGAAAGTGAATACAAGAAGCTAATAATGGATTCTCTGTGTTACTCTGCATGCCACAATGACAGATGCAAACAAATCGTACAGGTGTGGTGCAAACATTCCAACTCCATCAGTCGGTTTTATTATTCGTGTATGAGATGCACTGTTATAAGGTTCCCGGTGTGCAAAGCCCTGGAGCAAAGCACAGGACCGCTGCTTTAAACTCAATCTGACCTAATGAAATATTGGAAAGTGGAGGATTTCATTGGCTTTGCTGTACCACACCACAGAATACAGACTGGAAAACGTGAATTCACAGTGAAAGCGATAGCAAAACAGGACACCGGTGACATGAGGTACTAGAGAGTCAAAAAAAAGTTAAGTGTCTTAATTATAAAGTAGGACCATCGGGAGCACAACAAAGGTTGAGAAGGAGAAACATCAAACTGAGATTTGTAATATGTGCACATTATAGAATAGAAATGAGTCAGAATTACTGAAAATACAGGACAGCAAAAGTACAGAGAGAAAACAAACTAGGTGCAATGCCATTGGCTCAAGGGTCATGTGATGCAGTGAAGGATCATGGGTAGAAATTAGAGAGTGCCCATTCCAGTGACCTCAGACGTCAGCCTAGAATAGTTAAGGGAAGAGGAAAAAGGGGAGGAGTAAGGAAAAGATAGAAAAAATAAATAACATAAAATAATTCTGAAAGCATTTGACACTTCTGTACAAGAATGATAGCTTTTTCCGCCTTGTTGCTCTCCACGTCAAGTAATAAGCATGCATCACTGTCGATTTAGTTAAGCTGAAAACAATCAAGCTCCCATCAAATGCAAAAATAAAATCTCTTCCGCTTCTAAAGAAACACAGTTTCCAGCACCTCCTCGATTCTGACATGCGTTTGTACTTCGTTACAACATCTGCATCACATCACTAGCTCCTTGCCAACAGCATTGCCAGAAAATGCTATTGGATGCAATCCGCTTTTAAATGTATTTTTTTTAATCTTTGCTGTCAAACTACAAGACTTATGCAGCAACCATACTGAACTAATAAATAAAATACATTTTATTCAAATAAATATTTAACAAGATTCAAGCATTCGGCATGCTAAAATACTACACTAAAACACTGCATAACATGAACAAATCATACTACAGTTGTCCTGCTTTTCTTTGTTACCATTTTTTTTTATGTCAGTAGTCTGCCTACATGAATGTAGCTACTGATGAAGTTAACCATGGGGTTTAAGAGAAAGGTTGGTGAATTCTAAGGGAAGATTATATATATGTTTATTGGGAATCAGCTGCTGATAGCTTCAGATAATGAAAGCAGTTTGGGGCTTCAGGATGTAGTCATTGATGAGGGGTCATTCCACATGGCGGCCACGTCTCTGAACCTGCCATCAGAACCGTGGGAAAGCAATATGCATTAGTTTGACCCCGGCCGCTACCCTGCAAGCCTCAACATCACACACAAGAAGAGATTTAAAGGGCCTGTGGCTAAATATCTCGGATTCTTCAAATACACTGCTCTGTACACAGTGTGAAGATCCTATGTGAGCTGCTTTTTTGAAACTGTTGAGTTAGAACATCATAAAAATGTTGTTACTGCAGTTTTGGTAACACTTTTGTGAAACGTTGATGGGCTCACCTTGCGTTGATGAGGTACTGGGCAAGGCTGATGTTGGCGGGGGTTCCTGTAATGGTAATCTGGCGCTCTGATGACCCTTCCATGGCATTAGCTATTTTGATCTGCGCTCCAGACATCTGACGGATCTCGTTGATTTTGGTTCCCTGGCGCCCGATTATGCAGCCTATTAGCTGGGAAGAAAGCGGAAAGGTTCTTAAAGGACTGTCAAAAAGAAAACACAGTTTGTGTTACAGAAAGTATGCTTCTTTTTCTAGTATTTGCAATGGAATAGTTTTGTGACAGAAAACTAAACCATGTCAAAATGCACATTTTTATAATTCTTTTTTTTTTTATCATTTGGAAGCAGGGATTCAAAGAATTGAAGAATCAAATAAGATCCCACTGGATAAACGAGAGATGGAAACTTGGAAGATGGAAATTTGAAACACTGAATCAAGTCACACTTACACTACTGTTCAAAAGTTTAAAAAAAGATACTTCTATTCAGCATGGTTGCATTAAATTGATCAAAAGGGATGGTAAAGACTTTTACATTTTTACAATCAATCAATGAATAAATGCTGTTCTTTTGAACTTTCTATTCATCCGAGAATCCTGAAAAAAAATGTATCACAGTTTCCACAAAAATAGTAAGCAACACAACTGTTTTTGTCATTGATAATAATAAGAACCATTTCTAGACCAAATTAGAATGAATAGAATGATTTCTGAAGGATCATGTGACACTGAAGACTAGAGTAATGATGCTGAAAATTCAGCTTTTCCATCATAAAATGTTACAAATTATTCAATTTAACTTAATAAAACGAATTGAAAAATATATTAAAATAGAAAATGTTTAGAAATAGAATATATTCTTTTAATAGAAAATATTAATAGGAAAACAAACTCCTTTCAAAAAGAAAAAAAAGTACCAATCTCAAAATTTTGAATGGTTATGTAAATCACAAAATAAATTGACTTGTGGCTCCAAATTAGATACTTGTCAACAATTAAAACAATTAAAAAACAAAACAATACTTTGACTTCTGTTTGACTTTGACTTAGATTTGTTCTTAAAAGACCCTGACTTGGACTCTACATCAGACATTTATTCTCAAATAAACTGAAATTTATTTCTGTCATCAGTTAGGATTTTCTGACAAGGGACTGGGAGTCAAAACGGAGCATCAATCATTATACTCACATCATTGGGAATGGTGAGTTCATGAGTACTGGCCGGGGGACTGGCATCCAGACCTGGATCAGAGAGCAGAGGGAAGCTCGAGAGACAGCCTAGGATAAACAGCACTGCAAACACACACTCAGTGTGAGCTTTAGAAGACTGTGGCCTTAATGGACCAGGTGCAGAGTGCGAGGAACTCTTAGTCCTCCTGAGGATTTTTTTATGGAGGCCTTTTTTCACCTTAAACTAACATAAATATCTCTAGCGGTTCTCACATCGTGTCTTCTGTCAAGGTAAACTTCCCTACAGTATTTTCTTGGTCTAACACAAACGTATATTAGATATGTTTGATATATGTGTGAATAGCAAAGCATGTTCTGCTCTCCACATGGCATTGGGTTTGCCCTTAGCTTGAATAAAGCAGTGTTTATCAAGATGAATACATAATGAATGGCTTGATGCAAGATGTGTTGTGATCTGTAAAATCAAAACACTGATATGCTTCTCTTATGGCAGTTTCTGAAGGGCAGGAAAGAACACATTTTGTGCCATTGGTAAATCCTTTCGAGCATAAAATTCTACACCATTAGTCCCCTGTACGTGACAATGTTGCATAAGCAGGAAAACCTCACTATCTTTTATCCCAGGTCTTAGCAGTACAGGATAAGGCGCTTCATAAAAAGTTGACCAAAAAAATTAAAAAACTACAGAAAAAAAAACAATGCAAGGTGAGTTTTTTTTAGAAGTTGAACCTGAAGTTCAAAAAAGAAGAAAATAAATAAGGAAAGAAATAATGGGTAGGAAGAATGAAACAATTAATGGATATATTGTTTAATAAAATAAATAAATAAACAACATAAAACTAGCAAATAATATAAAAAATGCTAACAAAACAAAAAACTATTAAAATAAAACACTTAAAATAAATAAACACTAAAATATAAACAAAAAATAACAAATAAAGTAAAACAAACAAAAATGTTTTAAATAAAAATAAAAAGCACTGAAAAAATAAGAACTAACAAATAAAATAAAAAACAAATAAAGTATTTTACAAATAAAGTAAAACAAAGTAAAATAAAACAAAACGTTAACAAATAAAACACTTACAAATAAAATAAAAAACACTAACAAATATTAAAATAAAATAAAATAAAATAAGTAACATATTTTTTAAGAAACAACACCAAAAAACTAAACAAGTTTTTTTTTTTACATCCACAAAGTGAAGAGCAACCACCACGGGCATGTCATGATGCTTGACATGGAACGAGAAGGAAAGAGAGAGAGAAAGACGAAGAGAGCGTCTCTACAGGTACAATGAGAAGGAAACTTCAAAAGGGCTCGTGGGTACGTACCAGGGAAAGCAGGGGTGGTCTGTCCGAGGGGGGTAAAGGGGGTTTGCTGCATAGCCAACTGGTGGAGCTTGGTCAACTGCTGAGGGTTTGGAGGGACAGTAGAGCTAAGAGGTTATTGTTATAAGACAGGTCACACCAAGAAATCAAGAAACTAAACTAGAACAAAGAGACAAAGAGGATAAGAAGCCATGACACACTGTGGTGGAAGAAGAGCAAAAGAGAAAGCTGAAGAGATAGAAACTTTAGTAGGACTTGGCCTGACTTGGTGGGTTAATCTTATCTGATCGCTAAATGATCTGTGATAAGCTCCGTCTTGGGAAAAAAGGTCAGATAAATGTAGCATTTTAAGATCAAAGGGGAGTGTAGTTTATGCTTTTTTGTAACCCGAGTGGCTCAAAAGAGTCTAAACGCATTAGAAGGTGGAGTTATTAACAAGGATAATTTGTCATCTGAACCACGAGTGAACTGTTATCCATCAGAGATACGAACATGTAAGTGCGCGGGTAACCTTCAGAGGACACGCAAGCCTATTTTACAAACAGTCTTTGAACCACAGTAGACTTGTGCTGGGTGTTGTTGTGTACACCCTCTAAATCTGAGTTTAAAGCAGGTTGAAAGGTCCAACCTTGACTTGAGTTATTGCAGTGTCAGCAGAAGCGTCTCTAAGCATCAATCACTGCCAATCCTAAATGAAAAGAACTAACACAAGGCATCTCTCCTTCTCTCTGATAGATATTCATTCAGATCATCGGCGAGGAAAACACAGCTATCAGGATTAAAGAATCATCTGGGTTGTGAGCGTGCATCCATTTTCCTTTTTTATTTGACCTGTCTCTTCTATACAGCACAGTGGTCAACTTTTATTGTGTTCATTTGTGCTTTATAAATAAATAAATGAAATGAAATGAAAGGAACGTTTGATTAAGTCTGTGGTTCTCAAACTGTGTGATGCGTAATTTTGATGTTGTGTTGGAATTTTCAAATGGTACTTTTATTTTCCCACATTTGCCTTATCTTATATACACTTCTGTTCAAAAGTTAGAGGTCGGAAAGATGTTTGTATGTTTTTGAAAGAAGTCTGTAATGCTGACCAAGGCTGCATTTATTTGATCAGTTAAATACACTAATACTGTGAAATATTATTACAATTTAAAATAACTATATTAATATATTTTATTCCTGCAGTGCAAAGCTGGATTTTCAGCAGCCATTACTCCAGTCTTCAGTATCACATGATCCTTTGAAATATGAATAATAATAATAATATGCTGATCTGCTGCTCAAGAAACATTTCTTATTATTATCAATGTTGAGGACTATTTGCTGCTTAATATTTTTGCTTTATTTGCAATTATATATCTATTATATTATTAAAAATATCAATTTTGAACAACTGCATTAAATACATGCTGAATAAAAGTATTAATTTCTTAAAATCTTACTGACTTTTGAAGTTTAGTGTATACTTTTAATGCAGCTTTGTGCATGTAAAACTGTAATGCAACAGGTAAGATGCAAACACAAAATTGTTTGAAAATCCAAATTACAGCTACTTTTAATGTCAATATAACATCAAATCCAGTTGCCTCTGCAAACAAATGATGCTTTTTAGTCCTTCCACAGGACCGGCATGTTTCTAATAGAAATGTTGATTTGCTTAATGGTGAATTTGCTTAACACTAATCAAAGGTGGCGAGTCTATCTAGAAAATGACAAACACTGTCATTTCCTCCAACAGGCCAAGTCCTTAGAAGTTTGGTTTACATTTCAGAGGGCTGAGGTTCAGTACATTTTCAGATTGCAATGCGACCAAAATTACACATCAGAAACGTCATATTAATATTACTGCTTAATATTAATAGAGAGGTCCAGGCTGAAAACTACAGAGCCATGCAGACTGCTGACGGTGCTGGGGGGGGGGGGGGGGGGGGGGGGGGGCGGGGGGGCCAAGACGGGGGGGGGGGGGGGGGGCAAGGTCGGGAGGGAGTTCAGCTTCCTGACTGCCTGATGGATGAAGCTGTCCTTCAGTCTGCTGGTCCTGGCCTGGAGACTTTGCAGTCTCCTCCCTGGAATGGCATATTGTCCCTGAATTGTGTAGGCCTGTGAAGACAGAGAGAGAAAAAAAGAAAAGAAATATCGAATCAACATTTTTGCAAGGCTGCAGGGCCCATTAAACACACAAACTAACTGATTCATAACCGCTAAAGGATCTATTAATATTTTACAGGGACATTTGGTTTCAAAAGCTGAGTTTTCTTTCATATTTTATGTGAATATTTTTTATGACTAGTTATACAGTAATAATATTCGGCGCTTTAAATAATTGAGGCTTTTCTACACAAATTTACAACACTCCTGGCTTTTCATATCTGTGCGTCTGTTCAAGCGCACACTATGCTTAAAATATATTTCATACTGTCTTCAAATAACAAACACGTTCCTTGGGTATAGGTAAATATACCTGACAATAAAAGCAAATCTATTTCTGAACCATCTGAATAGATGAATATATAACATCCTTCACCAAGTTTTCTACAGTACGTACAATTCTGAACCTCATCATATTTTCAAAAATAAGAGATAAAAGAACATCAATTTAAAGTGTCACACTGATAATAATGTTGTATATTTCATGTAAAAAGCCATGATTTGCTATCTCTATGGTCATGTTGGATGAAGTGTCTGTGAATGAGTTACGTAAAAAAGATGCTGAGAGCGTTGTTAAAGGATATTATTATTCATCATCAAAGGAATGTTAGATTAGTGGAAAAAAATTACAAACACATTGTATTTTGTTTTGGTTAGCAAATGAGTGGGGATGACTTTGAAAACCATGTTTAATAGCATATCCCTTCAATATTTATAACTTGACCTTTCAAGTTTTGTTGGAATCTCAAATGAATGCAAATCCAGGTCGACAAATTCTATCGAGAGTTTCTTACACACATCTTGTGATGTTACAAGCTTTGAAAATATTAAAAGGATATGATATTTGCTCTGAGAGGGAGGAGTTTATTTTGCAATAAGAGTGAACAACATCAATCGAGAATTAAAATGCACCCAAAGCAGCCAAAACGCAATCATTGGCATGTGAAAGGTGAGGTATGCAATTTTGTATTTTTTCAGTGTTGAAATATAATCTTTCTATCCCAGTCTAATATGCAAAGACTTCTAAGGTTTCTGAAGGTTGATTTCCTGAAGAGAATCATTACATTTGAAACATTACTCTGTTTGTAAGTGCAGCAAAAGTGTAAGTGAAGAAAAATAAGAACATTAATATGCAATAATAACAGATTTGTCCTAATTTATTGACCTTCGCACAGAATGTTAAGGCAGTCAGTTGAATGAATTTGTGTTGAGAGTTTTTCACTCCTTGTAAATATGCAGCTCATTCCAAATGCTTTCATGCTTTCTCTTTTTACAGTAACTTGTAATGGGGCAAAACGTTTGGAATATGACAATGAAATGAAATCGAAGCACTCGAGTTCAAAAATTTACAGAACTGCACACAAGTGAATTTAAAGTGAACTAAAGTCTTCTAAAACCTCTTAGAATGCATTACCGCAGCAGAAAGACAAAAACATAAAAAATATGCATTCATTTCATTTCCACCTCTGCTTAAAATTCACTTTTTGGATAGCAGTAGAAGGCAGACTCTCCTTTATTGAGTCCAGATCTGAACTCTCATTGACAGTCTAAAGCTCCTCTCTCTCTGCAGGCATTTCCCTGGTTAGGATGGTGTGACAGCATGCGAGTGAGAAGGTGAGAAAACCTGAGTGAACTAACAGGCAGTGGCTGGTGCTGCAGTAAAAGGCTGAGGTTGGCTGCGGACGCCGCCAGCGGGTCGGCTCTTACCTGGCCACCTGAAAAAATGACGGGGGTGGAGGCGGGCTTTGGGCGGTAGGGAATGGTGGCACCTTTCGGTGGGGACTAGGAGAGGGGAAGAGGTAAGAGGCAGAAACAGCGTTAGACCAGGAGACAGGTGTAGACAGGTGTGCGTGGTGGAGTGTTTCTGTGGTAAAGTTGTACAAAAGTCAGGCAGGAGCACAGATGTTGTGAGACCCCACCTCTTAGAATGCATTACCGCAGCAGAAAGACAAAAACATAAAAAAATATGCATTCATTTCATTTCCACCTCTGCTTAAAATTCACTTTTTGGATAGCAGTAGAAGGCAGACTCTCCTTTATTGAGTCCAGATCTGAACTCTCATTGACAATCTAAAGCTCCTCTCTCTCTGCAGGCATTTCCCTGGTTAGGATGGTGTGACAGCATGCGAGTGAGAAGGTGAGAAAACCTGAGTGAACTAACAGGCAGTGGCTGGTGCTGCAGTAAAAGGCTGAGGTTGGCTGCGGACGCCGCCAGCGGGTCGGCTCTTACCTGGCCACCTGAAAAAATGACGGGGGTGGAGGCGGGCTTTGGGCGGTAGGGAATGGTGGCACCTTTCGGTGGGGACTAGGAGAGGGGAAGAGGTAAGAGGCAGAAACAGCGTTAGACCAGGAGACAGGTGTAGACAGGTGTGCGTGGTGGAGTGTTTCTGTGGTAAAGTTGTACAAAAGTCAGGCAGGAGCACAGATGTTGTGAGACCCCAAGTGCTTGAAGATTTGTATTTTTCTAGGCTGTGTGTTGTGAAGCTCAAATGGTTTACTCTACGAAAAAAAAAATCTATAAACCAGGAACAAAGTGGGCAAAAGTCAAGCTGAAATATCAAGGAGCTGCAGCAAAAAGTCAACCGAGAAGGGCCCCGAATGGAATACTTTCTGACTTTTTTTTAACATAAAACACCATTGTTTAAAAATTTTTGAAACATTTTGAAAAATGTTCGTGTACTCACAAAGGCTGCATTTATCTGATCAAAAATACAGTAAAAACTGTAATATTGTGAAATATTATTATAATTTAAAATAACTGTTTTCTATTTTAATATATTTTAAAATGTAATTTATTCCTGTGATAGCAAAGCTGAATTTTCAGCATCATTACTCGAGTCTTCAGTGTCATATGATCCTCCAGAAATCTCCAGAAAAATGTTGAACTGGTGCTACAGAAACATTTATCAATGTTGAAAACAAGTATTCTTAGAAATAGAAAGTAAAAAAAAATAGAAATAGAATAGAAAAAATAGAAAGTTTAAAAAATACATTTTGAAATAGAAACTTTTGTAACACTATAAATGTCTTTGCTGTCACTTTTGATACATTTTTGGCAACCTTAATGATGCTTCCAACTTCCTGCAAAAAAAAATAAAATAGAGAACCAATAAAATCATTGCAAACGTAAGCATTTTAAACATTCACAATTGTACATGAACACATTTCCTCATGAAAATGGCTATATTTTATATTCATTCCTTGTTTATGGAGATTTAATGAGTCTAAAAGGTCACTGGTACTAACAACCCCTGATTCACCTTGGTCTGAAACAGTGTGTCAGGAGAGGACAGATCCCTGAGGCACACAGCAGTGACATCACAAGCCCACCCACATCCACTTCCCTCTGTACTGTACTGCTCTGCGGGCTCAACTTACCTTGCCGTGCATGAGAAGCCGGATGGTCAGGGTCACATTCAGCCCACCCTCTGACTGGACTTTGTTGGGTTCCATACTAGGAGTGGAGCACTTCGTCCTTATACCAGTGCACTCAGGAAATCCCCAGGAGTAGGACGAGAATGATGGTACAGCAGCCAACCAGTCACCTGCACAGGGGGGATGGGATAATCACAGACAAGAGTCACGAAGAGCCCATAGACTTCCAAATGAGAAAACAAGATGGTCGCAGAATGTTTGGCTCTGCTCAGGAGCGAAAGCTCAGAATTAAAAGAATGCTCCTGGTTCAAAAATTCGCATTTGGGACATAATGTTGTTTGTCACAGAAAATATTTTTGACTTGTCCCAACTCATTTAAAATGAATACACTATTATTCAGTGGTTTGTAGTCTGCAATTACTTGATGAAATAAAGTAAAAATAATAATATTACCATTTAAAATGACTGTTTTCTATTTTAATATCATTTCAAATGTAATCTATTCCTGTGAATTCCTGCAATTTATTCAGAAATCATTCTAATATACTGATTTTGTACTCAAGATTTTTTTTCTTATTATTATTAATGTCAAAAACAGTTGTGCTGCTTAACATTTTTGTAGAAACTTTTAATATTTTTTTCAGGATTCTTAGATGAATAGAAAGTTCCAAAGAACAGCATTTATTTGAAGGAGAAATCTTTCTGTAACATAAATGTCTTCTTTACTGTCCCTTTTGATCAGTTCGATGCATTCTTGCAAAATAAAAGTATTCATTTCTTGTAAAAAATATCTTGCCGACCCCAAACTTTTGATGTAAAATAAATAAATAAAATTGAATGTAAATAAAACACTTTGAAAAGAAAGCATACAGTGTTTTCCAGAGATTCTAAATGTCTAATTATTGTTCATTCCTGTAAAGATTGACTATAACTCACTAGTCTCATGTTAACATGTATTTTAAGTTTTGTGGCCATAAATTTTATGTACAGTGTGTTTTATTGCCTGGTGAATTTTCATTGAAATTATCTTACTATCAGCATGATTGCTCTTTTTTCTCTCAGTTCTCTGTGATAATCAACATTATGCTGTTAGTATAGACTTATTGAATATGGAACATTCTTTTAACTCTACACGCAACATAATTAATAGTTTGAACACAAGAGGGAGCACTTTACAAGTAATCAAAGTCAACTTAATATTATATTCATTGCCAGGCAGTAACCTCAAAATATTACAAGAAGATACATGTTTTACAAAAGCGACATCCCAACCAAACTGATCTCAGTTAAATCTTATAAATAATAAATTAATAAAAATAAATGCATTAGGAATCTAGACTTTACAGCATCAATGTCCTGATGTTCAAAAAGGCTCTCACACACGATGACAATATTACAAGTAGGCAAAGATAGAATCTGCATAAAATTTACACCAATTAATACAATTCTACACATTTGGGTCCAAATTAATTCAAAGTGTTTACATAATTATGATAAAGAGAGACTAAATTAAAACAACACACATAAAACCCAATTTTCAAATCAAATTAAATATAATGCTTTTTTTTTTTGTAAACATAAAACTTATTATTGAGGTTAATTTAGTTGTGCTTTCAGCCAGAAGCATCAAGTCCATTCAATTCTGCGTAAATCTGCAGATTTCTGTGGGTTTACCATTAACAAGGTCATATAAAACAACTTATTTTCCATTTTGTGTAAAAATTCATAACATTCAGCTTAATGGAATCTGTATTTTCTGTCTCCCTGATCCCTCCGATGATTTCTCATGCTCAGCCATTATAATGAGTATCTGTCTGCGCTCTGATGAGGGAGGGGAAATCCTAACTCCTCAGCACAGCTTCAGACCTGTCCCTTTTCGGTGAGTTACGCCGTCATGTGGGTCTGGGGATCAACAACGATTGAGAGATTGAAACATTAAGCCATTTCAATACAGCTGCCAGCCCTTTATATGAAGTGCAGGATAAAGAGAGAGCAAAACATGAATGATGGTGACCGTAATAAAACCCCGGTGAAAGAGAAACAGTGTACGTGCTCAAGGAAGAGATGTGCGGAGCAAAGTTTTAAGCACAAATTTGCAGGTTATGTGTGAGAGAGAAGAGAAGAGATCAGAAGAGATTCACATGGGTATATGAGATGAGCTGCCAGCTGTCAGCAAATCTCCTGCTTAGCACAGATTGCATAAAAATTCTAATCTGAGCTAAGAGCACAAAGAAGCAGCAAAACAAATGGACACAAGTGAACCGGCTTGTACTCCTACAAACAGGAGCGCTCCATTTTAACAAGCCCCAGTCCTGGGAAACCCTGGAAAAAAGAGAACGAACAAAACCAAAAAAACAAAAAAAACAAGTGTTACTGAAAGTGAAAGTATACTTGCAGATAAAATAATACTAATGTAATAAAAAGCAACGTATTTAAAGAAAATAAACTTTCAAAAGTTTATGAAAACTTGCACATTGTCAATGCACATGGTAATAAGGTCAAATTTAATTTTAGATCATTGTTTAAATATTTTTTTATAAAAAAATTTTTTATTTGTTTTTAGTTTTAATTTTAGTTAAAGTTTCACTAATTATGTTGTGTTCGTTTTTTACATTTTTACTAAATAGTTTTTTAACTATTTTAAAATAGTTTTTTTTTAAATAATTTATTTATATTTCA